CGGAAGTCATAAAGCTACTGGAAGAGAAACATTTAAATATAATCGTCAAATTATTTAATCAAATACATACAAGCGGTGAAATTCCACAAGACTGGTTAAAATCAGTCTTTATTCCCCTTCCAAAAACTAAGGGAGCAAAGAAGTGTGGTGATTTCAGACTTATTAGTTTAATAAAATCCACAAGGAAAAATTCCTGTAGCTGGCTGTATACCACGTATAACAAAAAGAGGTTAATCTTTGTAAATGGGTATATTTATTTAAAAAACCCTTAAAACAAACGTTTTCGGACTACACAGTCCATCATCAGGTTATTAAAATCGAAAATGCCTAAAAATAAATATAAACCATTTAGTTAAAACAAAAATGTTTTAACTAAATGGTTTATACTTATTTTTAGGCATTTTCGATTTTAATAACCTGATGATAGACTGTGTAGTCCGAAAACGTTTGTTTTATTGATGTGGCCCTTTTAAGGGTTTTTTAAATAAATATACCCATTTACAAAGATTAACCTCTTTTTTTTATTAGTTTAATGTCGCATATGTTAAAGTTATTCTTGAAAGCTATTCACCAACGCATTTATAAGAAATGTGAACAGGATATCAGTGATGAACAATTTGGCTTCCGAAATGGATTTGGGACACGGGAAGCATTAACCAGTTTTATTATACTGCTGCAAAAATGTCGAGACCAAAAAAAGGAGCTCTTTTTATGTTTTATTGACTATCAAAAGGCCTTCGACAAAGTAAAACATGATAAGCTGATGGATTGCCTTCACAAAAAGGGACTAGACGAGAACGATTTTAAAATTATCCAAACGCTGTATTTTAACCAAACTGCAGCAGTTAGAACAGAAGCCGGTGACACAGAAATATTCAATATCAAGCGAGGTGTACGACAGGGGTGTGTATTGTCACCACTACTTTTCAATATATATTCGGAAGAAATCTTTGCACGAGCACTAGAGCAATCAAGAGAAGGTGTTAAAATTAACGGCAGAGTTCTAAATAATGTACGATACGCCGACGACACGGTCCTAATTGCAGAGAGCGCACAGGATCTCCAGACACTCTTAGATCGCGTCAGATCGATCGGAGAACAATACGGCCTCAGCATTAACGTCAAGAAAACAAAAACAATGATTGTCTCCAAAACATCCATCCATCCACCCATGGCTTTAAACGTGAATGGTAACATTATCGAAAATGTCGAGAAATTTCGATATCTAGGGTGCTGGATAACGAAAGATATAGATCCAGACATAGAAATAAAATCGCGAATTGAACAAGCAAGAAATGTCTTTTTAAAAATGAAACAAATGTTTACGTCCCAAACACTCAATCTCAAAATCCGATACCGAATGCTGAAATGTTACGTTTACAGCACCTTACTATATGGAATGGAGGCCTGGACCTTCAAAATCAACTCACTCAGGCGTTTGGAAAGTTTTGAAATGTGGTTATTTCGAAGGATGCTGAAAGTCCCCTGGACAGCGCATATGAGCAACGAGCAGGTCCTACACAAGATGGGTACCGACAGAGAACTCTTAAAAATAATGAAAACACGGAAAACCTCATATTTGGGACACATATACAGAAATGAGAAATACCAGCTACTGCAGCTTCTTATAGAGGGGAAGGTAGAAGGAAAATGTGGTCCTGGTAGACGGCAGGCGTCCTGGTTGAAGAACATTCGTGAGTGGACTGGTTTGGATTCTCAATCTTTAATAAGAAAAGCCAGGGACAGAAATGATTTTGCTGAGGTTATCGCCAACCTTCATTGAAGACGGCACCCAAAGAAGAAGAAGATACATCCCTTGCTGTCCAATTTTGGACATAAGCCTCCTTTTCCTTCTTCCACGACTACTTTACTACTTTGGACTACTTGATGTACTCCAAAGCTGTCCCTCTTTTCTTGTAATGATTCCAATTCTTCATAACGTTCTTTCATTCACCTTTCGTTTGCGATTTTAATTCTTGTCCCTATCGTACGTTGAATTTCTTTGTATTTTCCACAAGATTACAACGAAGAAATGACATCGAATATATTAGTCAAACGATACATTTCTTATCGATCAATTCTGTAGTAGTTATGCGTATATAGCAACGGTGCTGCTACTATCTTATCATTGCGAAGTTTACCTAACTCAACTAACCTGGACTCAAATGACGCGAATATCATAAATTTCATCTGACAATTGGCAAAAAGCTATAAGAAAAAATCGAAAACTCGTTTTGATAAACGAAATAGTATGATAGTTGTTTGTCCAAAATAATATATCTTCCGCTGGTTGAAAAGCGTAGAAAAACTAATAGTCATTCGGGATTATGGAACCATAAAGGCATTCTACCCTAGACAAGTATAAAACATATTTACATATTTAAAAATATCAGCTGTATGACATATTTTTAAACACTTTTATATCGGTTTTTTTTTAATTACAAAAATGTGAGATTTTTCTAAATTTGAAGTTTAAATAAATCTCTTAACACTTTCTATTTTTAAACAGGTGCAAATTTGATCATGCAACCATAATACTAATACAGTGGGTAAAAAAATGCGCAATTTTTTTCTTCCACGGTACAAAAAGAAACCGTAGATTCTACACTTCAAAATATTAGGATTTAAGTCAAGTTGCTTTAATAAAATGTTAATATTAAGAAAGATACAGGGTGTTAAAGTGGAAATTTAAAATTTTATTTTTTGCTATAACTTTTATGTTTGTCAACATTTATGTATAAAAATTTACAACTGGGTAGTATTAAATATCAGAAATTTTAATTTGATGTATACTTTGATGTATCTGATAGAGGGCGCCACATATGCCACATACGTGGCATATATTTGCACTTAACTTTTTTGCTCCTCAAGTTATGGGTATTTTTATTAAAAAATATTAAAGATACATTATTTTAACAAAAAAAAGGTATACTTCTTAATATCCTCAAAACTCAACAGTTTTCGAGATAATCGCATTTTAGAAATCAACTACATAATTCTGATTTATCTCAATTACTCCAGACAACGAAAGAAAATTAAAGAAAAACATCAATACTTCTGAATTTTGGTATAAAATACCTTTAATAAAGTTAATAGTTAACGAATTATTAAATAAAATAAATATATCAGCAGGATAAAATAACAGGATTTGATAAATAACAGAATAATTGGATTTTACATCAAACATTTTACGTTTTGTATTAAATTAAAGGCATAATCAAAACATTTTATTTACAAACCAAATTAAGAAATAGTTAAACTAAATAACGTTGAACTTTTTGTCAAAGTAAGTGTTCAATATGTCCACCATTTTCTTTAATTCATTTGTCAATACATTCCATAAAATATCGTCTCATATTAAATAGCATCATTGGTTCTAAAGAAACTGCTGCAGTATTTATTATAAGTGTTATACGTATAATAATAAGTAATTTTTTGAAATTTTTATGAATTAAATAATTATATTAATATCTCACCACAAGAATATGACTACCACGAACAATCCAACGTTCAGGAAAGTTGTTTTAAACACTGTCTCACTCCACTTTCTCTGTAACGTAATGGTGTACCATCTTGTAGAAACCACATATTTCGCCTTAAGTTTGATGACAATTCTTTGAATAAATCAATAAAATAATTTTATAAAAAATGTAAATAAATCTCGACATTCAAATTGCAAAGTAATTCGCATATCCGTAAAAAATAATTACCAATGATTCCAAACCATAGGACATGCATTTTAAATATGAATTTTGAATGATATTTTATAGATATGCGAATTACCTTGCAATTTGGATGGTTAGATTTATTTAGATTTTTATAAAATGATTTTATTGATTTATTGGAAGAATTGTCATCAAACATAAGGCTAAATATTTGGTTTATGCAAGATGGTACACCAATACATTACAGAGAAGGGGAGTGAGAGTATTTAAAAAAAACTTTCCTGAACGTTGGATTGTTCGTGATAGTCATATTCCTTGATTATGTGGTAAGATATTAATATAATTATTTAATTCATAAAAATCCCAAAAGAATACCTATTGTTATACTTATAATAAGTACTGCAGCTGTTTCTTTAGAACCAATGATGCTATTTAATATGAGACAATATTTTATAGAATGTATTAACAAATGAATTAAAGAAAATGGTGGACATATCGAACACTTACTTTGACAAAAAGTTTAATGTTATTTAGTTTAACAATTTCTTAATTTGGTTTGTAAATAAAATGTTTTGATTATGACTTTAATTTAATACAAAACGTAAAATGTTTGATGTAAAATCCAATTATTCTGTTATTTTATCGAATTCTATTATTAATTATCCTGCTGATATATTTATTTTATTTAATATTTCGTTAACTATTAACTTTATTAAAGGAATTTTATAACAAAATTTAGAAGTATTGATGTTTTTATCTATTTTTCTTTCATTGCCTGGAGTAATTGCGTTAAATCAGAATTATGCAGTTGATTTGTAAAATGCGATTATCTCGAAAACTGTTGAGTTTTGAAGTTATTAACAAGTATACCTTTTCTTTGTTAAAATAATGTATCTTTAATATTTTTTATCAAAAATACCGCTAACTTGAAGAACAAAAAAGTTAAGTGCAAATGTATGCCACGTATGTGGTATATGTGGCGCCCTCTATTGGCTATATCAAAGTATGCATCAAATTATAATTCCTAATATTAAATAGTACCCAGTTGTAAATTTTTATACATAAATGTTTACAAACATGAAAGTTATAGCGAAAAATAAAATTTTAAATTTCCACTTTAACACCCTGTATCTTTTTTAATATCAACATTTTATTAAAGCAAGTTGACTTTAATCGTAATATTTTAAAGCGTAGAATCTGCGGTTTCTTTTTGTACAATTACTTAAGGACCACCCTGTATATTATGATTAGTGATTCCAAGCAACTTTTAAATTTAAAATATTTTTGATATTCCTATGGCCATTTATGTAAACGTTTTCCATTTATTATTTTTAGGCCAAACAAATCCAAGAAGATGCGAAATCAGTAACTTATCGATCTACAGTTGCCCCGAAAGAGCACCATATCACTCTCGTTCGTGAGAAGATCGACACAATGGCCAAAATGTTCGAATACTGCAGCAAAAAATACGCCAACAAAAGATGTTTGGGTACCAGACAAATATTGGCGGAGATGGACGAAGTACAGCCAAACGGAAGAGTTTTTAAGAAGGTAAGCATTTAACAATCATTACCAAAGTAAATTAAGTACCAAAACGCAAACCTTGCTCCATTGGTATAATAAAATAAAACTGCTTTTATTTACATTCTTAATTTTCAACATATAAGGACGATGAACCGCATTTTACCTCCATTTATTATGAATTTTATCACGAAACTTGTAAAGAACAAAATAAAAAACAACGGTTTCTCACATATACAAACTTTGTCTTTGCGGAAGTTTAGAAAAATTGCGTCCGAACAATCAAATTAAAGAGAATCATAACAATGTCACAATGCGATAAACTGTTTTTGTACTCTCGTTAAACAAGCTTTGTATAAAATTTCTTTGCGTTTCACTCGTAGCAAACAATCTTGTCAAGTTTTATTTGATCTCGTGTTCGGTTGACATATAAGAGCGCTCCAATTTGCAAAAACGATGTCTAGAACAATTTTCCGTTTATATTATTTTTTTATACGTATTCAACAAAATTGTTGTTTCAAAAACTTACAATATTATTAACTATCCATTGATGAATTAACTGAGTTTATTATAAATAAATCATTTGTTCGCACATTAGAACTTTTAGAATTTCTTGAGAAATTCCATGACAACCCTGAAACGTTACCAAGTGCTGTAAACTTCTTTAAAAATGCTTTTATTATTATAGAATGATTTAGAATTTAGATTTAGAAACTTTTCAGGCTTTCATTCCCAAGTTCTTTAGAGATCCCAGAAATATGTTAGTCTACGAATATCTCAGGCTCTCCTGAAATCTTCTAGAATACTTTAAAACATTCCAGGACAATCCCGAAACATTTCCTACAGCCTTAAAGCACTTCGAGATACTTTCAAACATTTTCGGAAGTCTAGAAATATTGGATGGACAAGAAATTGTCTAAGCTGCTTTGAGGTCCTCCAGACCGACTTAACTCTAAATTATTTTCAGAGGCTCCAAAAATATTCTCAAGATAGTCTATAAATATTTTAGGATTATATTTTAGAAGTCCTCTAAAGTCTCTTAAAATATTCCAGCATAATCCCGAATCATGCTCAAAAGTTCTAGAATACTTCAGAATATATTTAAAAATTCTCAGACAGTCTATATATAAATCTTCATCTTAAGCATTTGAGAACAGGTCCAAAACATTCCTAACTGTTTCAAATCCTTCATGACATTGTTCAAACATTCTCGGAGAATCCAGAAATATTCCAAAAGACTCCACTGTCTTCCAAAGGGTTTTGAATCATTTCGGAACAGTCGCAAAATGTTTCTTATTGTCCCAAAGTCCTTCAAAAATTCCTGACACATTCTAAGCTAGTCTAGAGAGATTTAACTCACTCCAAAGTCTTCCATAGTGCATTAGATAATTCTAGAATAGATCGGAAACAGTCCTAACTGATATAACTGTTTCTTTAGAATATCTTAAAACATTTAATACTCAGTAATACTTAGTTCTCACTAAGTCCTCGATGGTCCATTGAGGTATTCCACGACAGTCCTGAAACATTTTAGGCTATCTCGAAGCATCTCAGGGACAATAAAGCATACCTGTAAGTCTACAGAGTCTTTCTCTGAATGATGCCAAATACTCCTAAAATTTTAAGAGTAAAAATAGACCGAAAAATTTCCTAAATGCAACAAAATCCTTCAATGACCTTTAAAACATTCTCAAGCAGGCTAGAAAAATTCCAGGCTCTAGTGAAGTGCTCTAGAAGGCTACTTGAAGGTAACTCTAAAAGGCCAGAGCCGTTTTGCCAGCTTCCCTAGTTACTTCGGGCACCTTTGTAACATGATCGAATAGGCTACAATTTTTCAGGCTCTCTTGAAACTTTTCAGATTCCCTTGAAGCATTCTACGACAGAACTTAAACATTTCAAATAGTCCTGGAACATTCCCAAGTTCTAGTTTCCGAACTAAAGTTTTTCAGAGACCCTAAAAATATTCTTAAATAGTCGACTTTAGAATTTAAGCTAACCTGAAATCCTCTAGAGGCTCTTGAAATTTTCAAGCGCATTTTTAAACCATGCCCAACTTACCTAAAGTACTTCAGAATCTCTTGGAAATATTCTGTGACAATTTAGAAACATTCCAGACGGCGCTAATATCCTCCAGAGCATATTGAAGCATTTCAGAACAATCCCAAAACTTTTCTATTTGCTGCCAACTTCTTTGCTGTTCTAAAACATAGTCCGATGGACTACCAAGATTCCAAGTTATATTCAGATTCAACTAGAGCTACTGAAATATTTCAGAACAGTCCAGAAAGTCTTTTTGGTGCTCTTTTAAAATATTCTCTGGCAATCTAGAGACACTCCACGTAGCAGTAATGTCCTCCAGATCATCTTGCAACTACTGAAAACTCCTTCAGAAGCTGTTAAAACATTCTCAAACAGGCTAGAAACATGTAGAGTTACTGGAATATTCCAAGACAGTCGTTCTATTCCAGGATATTATCTAGAGCTACTGAAAAGTTTCCAAACTGTTTTGAGATTCTTCAGGTACGCTGAAAGAGTTCCAGAATACTCCGTAATCATTTCAGATGGTCTCGAACCATGCCCAAAAGTACTTCAGAATCTCTTAAAACATTCTCTAACAATCTAGAAACATTCCAGACTAGCGCTAATGTCCTCCAGAACATCTTGAAGCCTTTCAGAATGGTCCAAAAACATTTATAAGTGCTGCAAACTGCTCCAAAGGTCCTCTAAAACATATTCTAGGCTGTAGACGTCCTATAGAGTTACTTTAAAATTCAAAGACTGTCCTTAAAACTTCCAAGCATTCATGAACAACCGACGACTAGCTGTCTTAAGTATTTCTGGTACCCTTGTAAAATTATCGAATAGTCTAGACATTTTACACGCTGTATCTACTAGATCTACTAGAAGTGTCCTACAATCTACTAGATTGTAGGAGAGTTATTAAACATTTCAAATAGCCTTGTAGCATTCCCAACTTTCCCAAAAATATTCTCAGTCAGTCTATATAATTCGAAGCTATCCTGGACGCTTATAAAGGTTCTTAAAATATTACCACTCAGTCCCAAACCGTTCCCAACTGTCCTAAAGCTTTCTACCAAATATCTTTGATACAACATTATATATATTCCAGAAATTTTGTTATGTTTATTAAAGAATGAAGTAACTTTGTTGTAAACCGATCATATAAAAACAATTTTTGTTCATTTCAGTTCGATTTGGGAGACTACCGCTGGAAAACCTTTTCTGAAGTAAACATCCTAGCCACCAATTTCGGCCGTGGTCTTCGCGAACTTGGCAACGATCCCGGAAAAAATGTCGCCATTTTCGCAGAAACGAGAGCCGAATGGATGATCGCCGCTCATGGAATATTCAAGCAAAACATCCCTTTGGTTACCATCTACGCCACCTTGGGCGATGAAGCCATCGCTCACGCTATTAACGAAACTGAAGTGACAACCCTTATCACCAGCTTCGAGCTGTTACCGAAGTTTAAAAAGATCTTGCAGATGACGCCACGTGTGCAGTGTTTGATTTATATGGAAGACCAATTGAAGAACTTGGAAAGTACCGATGGATTTAAGGATGGTGTTTCTATTTTGAAGTTCCAGGACGTTTTGGAAAAAGGAGCCTCGTCTAAGATAGGTATGTATATTTGTAAACTGTTGTGAGGAAGAAGTCGCAATATTTTCGCCATATCTAACTTCCTAATGAATTGTAAGTCATAGAGCACCATTTGCACTGTTGTTTCTTTGAAAAAAATCTGAGGTACAAGTATAGTAGAACTAAGTTATTGAACGATTCAAATTTTGTAGAGGCCCAACCCCCCAAAGCAGACGACATCGCCATCATCATGTACACGAGTGGATCTACAGGCGTTCCCAAAGGTGTTATACTTCTTCAAAAGAACCTAATCGCTACGTTGAAAGGTTTCTGTGATTCAACACCTATTTACGAAAATGATATAATGATCGGCTTCTTACCGTTAGCTCACGTCTTCGAATTGTTGGTGGAGAGCGTTTGTCTGTTTGCTGGAGTTCCTATTGGATATTCAGGAGCATTGACCATGACAGATACGTCCAGTAAAATCAAAAGGGGGACCAAAGGAGATGCTACGATATTATGTCCGACTGTTTTGACAAGTGTACCAGTAAGTACCATCTATTTTTAATATTTTTGCTAAAATTCATGCTAAATCATTTTAAATTTGAAAATTATAAATGTTTTTATTTCCTCTAAAACCAGCACTGTCTTACTAGACTAGGCGGGATCTGTAGAAATTCAGACCATAATGGACATTTTCCATAGGAAGCTATTTTTTTGCTGGAATCCCTTCAGGATGTGCCCAATATCGATAATCACGATATGCGCCAGTCGCAAACCCTGTACTCAATTTTTTATTTAACAAAATCTGAAAACAATTGAAAATTTCTCATTTTTGTGCTCCTATTTTCGTTTATAATTCGGAAAATATTGATCATAGAGAAAAAATTATAAGAAGTTAAAAGTTTCGTTATTCAATTTTACAATATTTATTATTTATTTATTAAATTATATATTAAATATTTTTTTACAATATTTTGTTTGCTAGAAATTGACAATTTAATGTTTATTGTTGAAAAAATATCAATAATTGGAAAAAAAAAGTACAAAAAAATGAACTTAATCCTTTAACTGTTTTTGACTTGCTAAACTTGATTTACAAGCTTAATATTCCGCCTAGAAAAACTTTTTAATATGTTTAAAACGTGTGCTAAATTTTGTTAAGATCGGTCGGATAGGTTTTGCATAATAATTTTGCAATCCAGCCTACTGGAAAAAAATCGCAAATTTTCAAATTTATAGTAGACCCTAAATAAGGCCCTCAGATAGTTGCAAATTTTTTTACATATAAAGGAAGGCTGAAACTTTCAAACGCTTTTTGTAAAATTCAAATCGGTTTACTAGGAGAGCCTAGAAAATTTTTGAAAGTTTTAAACATTTTTTAGCCTTATAAACAAATTGAATAACTTTACGAGCTTTAAACATATCAATTTCAAAATTTATAAACTTAAAGAACATTAAAAGACGCTTCTTTAAAAAAAAGATACATTCGGCTTACTGGTTGCCGAGATATTGAAGGTAAAAGTTGACATACATTTGCCGTGTAACCATAAGTGATAAAGGGCTCGTTTTTAAACAAATACCCTCGTCTTGTCAAGTACTTTTTATATGAAAAGTTTTACGTAATGCGCTTCATGGCAACATCCATAAAAAAGATAAATAAAAAACCGTTTTCGAGTAAAATGTCGCTCGGAATGCATGAGAGGTGGTGGTGGGGGACATTCACTCGAAATGTGAATCGGCGAGTTCAAAATCATAGCGCGCGCTAAAAATTGCATTATCTCGGCCTCTTGTTAACCAATTTTGCTCTTTTTTTTAATCGATGTCTCGGACGACAAGGATTTCAAATATCATATTTTCAAATACCATTTTTAATAGCAAATTTGGAAATTTGCAATAAACAATTGTATGTTAAACAAGTAATTGCATTTTTTCTTCATGCATTCTTTTTGAGCTTGCAATATATACATTGAAGTAAATTGTTACTTTTAGTAAACAAATATGTATTTATAAATTGTTAAAAAATAATTTAAATTGTTAAAACAAAGGTGAACGAAAAAAAAATTTCATGAATTTTCATAAATAAACTTTATTTTGACTCAATCTTCAATAAATTTTTTTAAAGTCTTTTTCTTTTTTTGGAAGGACAAGAATTTTCAGGTCTTATGTCTTCCTCAAAACCTTCATTTTCCATTTCAATATCTTCATTGTTTAAAAACGAGCGCTCTATCACTTATGGTTACACGGCAAATGTATGCCAACTTTGACCTTCAATATCTCGGCAACCAGTAGCCGAATGTATCTTTTTTTAAAGAAGCGTCTTTTAATGTTCTTTAAGTGTATAAATTTTGAAATTGATATGTTTAAAGCTCGTAAAGTTATTCAATTTGTTTATAAGCCTAAAAAATGTTTAAAACTTTAAAAAAATTTATAGGCTCTCCTAGTGAACCGATTTGAATTTTACAAAAAGCGTTTGAAAGTTTGAGCCTTCCTTTATATGTAAAAAAATTTGCAACTATCTGAGGGCCTTATTTAGGGCTTACTATAAATTTGAAAATTTGCGAGTTTTTCCAGTAGGCTGAATTGCAAAATTATGCAAAACCTATCTGACTGATCTTAACAAAATTTAGGACACGTTTTAAACATATTAAAAAGTTTTTCTAGGCGGAATATGGAGCTTGAAAGTCAAGTTAAGAAAGTCGAAAACATAAAATTCAAAAAACTAAAACATATAATTCTATATTAGAATAGCAGAAGTTTAGACCCAATACATTTGTTTTATTATGGTAGTTTTCAAAACAAGGTACCACACAAAGAAGAACCTCACACTGTTGGAAACAATAGATTGTTTCTTTGCGTACTTTTTTTACTGCAAACGATGCAAAGGAATGTGTTTTTGGTTTATATACATCACTGTCTTTCCGCCACTGAATCTCATCATCATCATCGACTAACTTAATTTTTTTCTCTTCTCAGTCAGATATCTTTTTTTCGAACCCATTTGTTAAAAAAAATTATTAATTTAATTCAAAATACTTAAATAAAGGTAACGTGGTTGAAAAGCAAATTTGCACGTACCACCATCGTCAACAAATGACTTAACATTTTTTCCAAATGTACTGACTTCACTCCAACTCCCACGCAGTTCATCGCAGCTCTGTGAAATTTAATAAGCGATAACATGTTAGAAATAGTATACAATAAGCAAATTTAAAAGCGATTACGAACGTTTCCCGATCTAAAGTACATTTTGATGTAAGTGAATATATGCGTCTCCCGTATCTGTGGCAAGAAAACTTTTGCGCGTATATGCGGTTCCCGACGTTAAAGGGTTAAAGGATTAACTTCATTTTTTTGTTCTTTTTTTTCCAATTATTGCTATTTTTCAACAATAAATAACATTAAATTTTCAATTTATAGCTAACGAAATATTGGTAAAACTGAATAACGAAACTTTTAACTTTTTATAATTTTTTCTCTAGGATCAATATGTTCTGAATTATAAACGAAAATAGGACCAAAAAAATGAGAAATTTTCAATTGATTTCAGATTTTGTTAAACAAAAAATTTAGCACAGGGTTTGAGACTGGCGCATATCGTGATTATCGATATTGGGCACATCCTGAAGGGATTCCAGCAAAAAAAATAGCTTCCTATAAAAAATGTCCAATCCAAAACAGATCCCGCCTAGACTATACGAGAACCGCTTACTAGCGAAATCAGAGGATACACTCAAATTTATGTACTGAATTGAGTGCTACCATTAGTGACGACTATATTTTTTTATTATTCGTAATTCTATACGAATAAATGCTACACATTAAGCAATTTCTTATCTGGGGACATTCCAGAACCCGTGAATCATACTTGACTGATTACAGGTCCTCCAGAGCTCCATAACACATTCTATGACAGATTCAAAAAGTCTTAAAGTCATTGCAAAACTCTTGAAACATTATGGGATAATCTAGGAACATTTCAGGCTACCCTGTGGTTCTTCAGAGCTCCTTAAAACATTCTAGCACACTTCTTAAACTTTTCAAATTATGTGGAAGCGTACTAAAACCCGTGAAATATAACTGTTTGCCGTCAAGTCCAGAGCTCCCAAAGACGCTTGATGAAACTTTCTCTAACTGTGTAAATAAATGCATAAACTTTTCGAGTCTCTTAAAAGATTCCATGACAGACTCGAAATATAACCAATTTGTCTATCAGACGCCCTTCAACATTTCCTAATCAGTATATAGACATTACAGACTGTACAGAAACATTTCCAATTGCCCCAAAGTTCTTCAGAGAGCCTGGTAATATTCAGAATCTTTCTCGGACAGTCTAGAAATATTTCAGGTATCCCAAAAGTCGTCTACGGAAACAACTTTCTGAAACATTCCAGACTAGTCTCGTGCCATTCATACCTATTTTAAAATACTTCAAAATAAAATCTCCAATTTTGAACAATCTAGAAATATTCCAGGCGGCGCTAATATCTCCAGACCATATTTTGGAATTTTAGGCCAGTCGGAAAATTCTTAACTATCCCAAAATCCTTTCAAAGACCCCCGAAATGTTCTCAGGTAATCTAGAAACGTTCCAGGTGGCGCTAATGTCTCTTGAGTATCTTGAAGCATCTAAAGACAGTCCGAAAACATTCTTAACTGCCTTAAAGCTTTTTAAAATACCTTGAAACTTTCTACATACATATAGACTAGAAACACTACATACAATCTTACCCAGGGCATCTTAGATCATTTCAGAATAGTCCCAGAATATTCATAAATGTTCCAAAGTCTCCCAAAATCACTGAAACATTCTCAGACAGTCTAGAAACATTACAGATGGCGCTACAATCGTTCAGGGATTCTTCAAGAATTTCAGAATAATCATAAAACATTCCCGACTCTCTCAAAGTCTCTCAAAATCCCTGAAACATTCTCAGAAAATCTCGAAACCTTACAGATAGCGCTAAAATTTTCCAGTGCATCTTCAGGAATTTCATAACAGTCTCAAAATATTCATAACTGTGCCAAAGTCTCTTAAAATCGCTGAAACATGCTAAGACAGTCTAGAAAAATTCCAGATGGCGCTATAATTTCCCAGGCAGCTTGAAGCATTTCATAACAATCTCAAAATATGTCCCAATGTCCTTTAAAGATTCCTGAAACGTTCTAAGACAATCCAGAAACATTCAGCGCATTCCTTCAGTTTTCCAGAGCGTCGTAAAGCATTCCAGAGCTGTCCAGAAACATTCGCGACTATTCTAAAGCCCTTTAAAACATCTTGAAACATTCCACGCTGTTATAAAGGCCATTCTCGAACAATCCAAAACTTTCTAAACTCTCCTGAAATCCACCTAGGCTATCCTAAAGTAATGTAGATCCTGTTACATTCCATAACAACCTCGAACCATTTTCAACTGCCCTAAAGTACTTCAAAATCTATTAGTGAATTATTCAAGGACAGTCCTCTTTTTCATATAGAGTCTTTCAGAGACCCCAGAAAAACTCATCGACAGTAAAATTTCATGGTCTCTCCTGAACTCTCCTGAAGTGCTCAGAATATATACATTTTGTAAAGTCTAGGTGTCTAAACATTCCAAGGTGTCCTAAAGTCTTCTTGAGTCTGGTTTAGGCTATTTCGGAGCTTCCTAGAAGGTTTAGTTCCTCCAGAGTCGCCCTGAATGATGACAGACAGTTCTGAAATATTCCATAAAGTGTTTCAAATGCTCTAATAAGTAGGCAAGGAACTTAAGAACAATCGATCCGGTAAAATTAAACACTTACACATCTAAGTAACGCGCGAAAAGACAAGAAAATATCTTTTTTAAATTATTCACTGAAATTTCACATTAAAATTTGTTAATCGATGTTGTATGTAGATTATGATTTTAATTTTCGGTATTTTGTAGCTCATTCTAGATAGAATATCAAAAACTATCCAAGAAAAAGTCAGCAAAGGCAGCAATCTTAAAAAGGTGATATTCAAATTCGCATATGAGTACAAATCAGCGTGGAAAAGGCGAGGATATCAAACTCCTTTGATAGACAAGTAAGTCACAAGTATTTTTTATATTTTTTTATAATAAAAAATTATTTTAATAAAAAAGTCTTGTCTTATTTGAATATTTTTTCTCTGTTATATTGCCACAATCGGCACAATAAACAAATGCAGATATGACTAAAAACATATCTGATAGTTAGAATTGTTAAAGATCGCTTACAAACAAGAACAATGTTCCAAGTTCGTTTGAACTACCGGGCAACACTTCGGCGTGTTTTGTTTACGTCTTATAGAAATACTTTTAGTAGATAACTTCTTCCTCTGCACATTTTTAGGCAGGCCAAACATATAATCACATGGTGCAAGGTCTGGCTCATCGACAGTCCAATGCTTACTGTTCTTTGACTATATAGTAGCTAACAGTTAAATTTTTCTCGTTTCAGAATTGTGTTTTCCCCGATCACAAAAATTGTTGGAGGAAACATGAGACTGATGATATCTGGGGGTGCTCCATTATCAGCTGAGACTCACGAACAAATAGGAATATGCATGTGTGTGGTAATAATACAAGGATATGGTCTAACAGAATCAACTTCCTGCGCAGCTGTACAGGATTGTAAGTATATTTCTACAAATTTTACTGTTTCACAGTAGTTTAAAGGCTTCACTTACGATTGTCTCATTGAAGTTTTCCCTGAATCGTTCCGGGCAGTCCCGAAACATTCTAAACTGTAGCTGCTAAGAAACTTGAAATATTCTCTATCGTTCTAGAAATATTCTTAAACGTTTCATGTTATCCCGGAGTGGTCCAGAGCTGTTGAAACCAACCTGACTGCTTTTAGGCCAGTTAGAGCATTCTGAAACATTTCATTATAGTCTAGAAATATTCCAGATTGTTTTCACTCGCCCAAGATCATTTCAGACAGTCTCAAAACATTCTCGGGCACTCGAACAGTCTAAAAATATTACGGATGGCTGTCAAACCCTCCAGAGCTTATTAAAATCTTGCAGGATAGTCGTTTAAGGTGGTATGTCACAATGTTAAAATTTATATACTTTTTAGGTACAGTTATCGTCACTATTTCAAAACAGATCTTCAAGTTATGATTATGTACGTAAGCTGTAAACTTTCTATTTTAATGATATCTAGTTAACATTTTCAAAAACAGCAGTATTTTTTTCATAACTGTACTTAAATGCATCGATGTCATAACTTACGTGGCAACGTGCCTAAAAATTGGTATTGTGAAATAATTATTGAACTTAGGTGCAAAATAACTACGTTAAATGATTAACTATCCAAAAACCTTTATTTTAAGCAAATGTTTGTTATCCATACTGCCGTAATTTTTAAATTAACTGTACCTAAAGATAAAATTACAATTAAAAGCTGCAAACTAGGGATTTTGTTGATGTTACCGTAATAAGTTGGCATTTTTATAGTGAGAAATTAGTTCAGCTATCACTTAACAGATGAGAAAATAAGTTCACGTGTCATTTAGTAGAAGGCAGCACTGATGTATTAAATAGCGATAGATGCGCGTTTGCCGAATTTAAGAAAAATCTGCAAAACATTGAAAACTAGTTTTGTGGTAATTCCAATTGTCTATGAGTTATGCAGTAACTATAGTAACGAATCACGTGGTTTTGTTAGCAAGGCGGCCCCTCCCAGTAGTTAATATTGTGGCTTCGTTTGACTTTCTTATGTTCAATCATGATTGTATAAGGGAACAATGTCTTAAATATACAAGTATACCATTTTTTTCCTTGGCACCCTGACGTTATATAATCGTGGTTGAAAGTCAAACTCTGGTCAGTAAAGTTTACTGCGGGATTATACTGGTTTTTACATAATATATAAAAATAAAAACAATTCATTTTATTAAATTTTTAACAAATTTAATTTTTATAGACAAAACAATATTATGTAATGATCGATTAAATTTTGTCGATTAATTATTTCCGGAAGAAAATAAGATTATTGATATTTACTTTAATATTTACTTGAGTCATAATTAGAAACGAGATGAAAATCTGAAATTTTCTGAGGAAAACACTTCCCCTGTTGACATTCGATATGAAAAAATTGTTATTATATATTATAATATTATAATAATTATTATAAATATATTATTAATAATTAATGTTATATATTTTAGATTTCTTATAAATACTGTTTTTATACATAAATAGTCGATCCAATTACCATAATCCCTTTTTGATCATTATTTACCTGTTTTTCAAACAATTGCAAATTTCTTTTCAGTTTGAAATAAATATTTTTGGGTAGATAAATAATTCAGACTTGTCGCCTGAAATATGAGTAATACCTCCAAATGAATGAACGTTTTGTGTATACAAGGTCAAGTAACAAAAATCCCTAATCAGCACATCCAGCTGATTGCTGGTGTAAGTGTAAGGCAATTAAAATTTATGACGTCTGGGAATGTAGTATCATCTTTCATATTAATAATAATATTAGAATTGCATAGTATGCATAGATACAGTTAGTCGAATTTGGGAAACTGTATTAAAATAAAATCACACTTGTGTAATTTAATACAAAATTAAGCTTTTTGTACAGTAGACTTGCGATTATCTGAGGTAATTGGGACCGTGACTACCTCGGATACCGAAAGAACTCTGTCACTGAGATTGGTTATACTGATAGAAAAATGTGTACCTATGTTAATAATGATTAATGTGTTTATTTTAATAACTAAAAACTGATATAAAAGTAGTATAAAAGATAAAAAAAAAATTAATTTATAAATGTTTTAAAAAGTCTTTGATTGATTTTTGTTTCAACTTCATTCCTCTTTTTGGGGCGGCAATGTTGCGCCAACGTTGAAAATGAAGGACGTCTAATGGTGTTGATTCTTCTTGTTGCTCAATGTATACGAGAGCTGCTTCAAGGGACTTAAATCCTTCGGAATGAGAAATCTTTTGAGTTATCCCATCTGTATCTTCTTCTTCTTCATGGGTGACGTTTAGACCTAGATTGGCAATTGTATCATCTGTCAGTTCCACTTCTTTATCTAGATTCCTCCAATCGATGATGTCTTGGTTTTACAGTCTTTTTACATGTCTTTACAGTCATCAGTTTCATTTTGAACGTCTTGTGTTTTGTTGTCTATCTTAAATAATTTTTTCCTCAACTTCTGAGTAGTGGACATTTTTACGTCGTCCCAGGCAGATGCAATCCAATAGCAAACATCTTTAACCGTGATCTTCTTCAATGCCTCAATTACAGTCAGCCCTTCATCCAGTTTATAGTTAGCAGTGGCTGAAGATATGCAGAGTACCTTGAGATATGCAGACGATATAGTCCTGATAATAGATAAGAAGGAAGAGTTACAGAAGATGGTTGAGAAACTAGATAGAAAAGCGACAGAGATAGGTCTAGAGATGAACTATAGTAAAACCAAGACTATGACAAACCAAGAAGACCAATTAGAAATAGTAGTCAAACAGAATAAATTAGAGCAGGTGGCAGAATACATATACCTAGAACAGATAATAAAGCTGAACAGGGACAATCAAACAGAAGAAATAAAAAGAAAAACTAGACTAGCATGGGCCTCATTTGGTGAACTATTATATATTCTAAAAAATAAAAAGTTCCCTAAATATATGCGAACGAAAGTATTCAACCAGTGCATTTTACCAGTTATCACATATGGCTCACAAACATGGACTTTCACAAAGGAGAACATCGACAGGATATCCAAAACACAAAGAGCAATGGAAAGACAGATGCTGGGTATCGGTCTTAAAGACAGGAAAAGAAACTCATGGATCAGAGAAAAAACAAAGGTGAACGATGTATCAAGACAGGTTGCAAAACTTAAATGGAACTTCGCCGGTCACACTCTCCGGCAAAAAGATGAAAGATGGAATAAGCGAATTCTACACTGGAGACCATGGGAAAAGAAAAGAAAAAGAGGAAGACCACAGATGAGATGGACTGACGATCTTAGGAGAAAGGCAGGAAATTCCCTCACATATGGATGGGATCGTGCGTTGTCCAACAACAACAAAGCTTTTTGGACCAATCCACTACCACCACTCACACTTCGGTTTACCCACTGTTCGATTTCATTCGGCTTACGCTTCCAATATCCAACAGTTACTTCTCCGACATCTAAATCTAAAGAAACCTTCTTTATTGATTCACCCTTGTCCAACCTCTTAATTGTATTCACTTTTGTTTCCAAAGGTGCAATTACTCTCTTTCGCTTTCCACTCATATTGCACAGAAAGATTCTCTCTTACACTCACAAAAATCTACTTATGAAAAATTAATTATGAAACCGAAACTAATAACTGGAATAAATTCACAAAACAGTACATAAAAGGAAAAATATTACCGTACAGATACTTAATTTGACGATCTGAACGACAGCAAACAAATCGGTAGTTCAATTCACATTGATTAACATAGAAAGGAACAGGAAGTTGTAGACAAAACACCACACAGAAATTTCTGCACATGAAATCTCTTTCACATCAGCTTGACCTAAAGCATACCTTACAAATAATTATCTTCTTATCAATAATCCAAAATTTTCAATTGATTGCCCATATAACAGCTGCCGATATAACTTCTGACCATCGACCCCTTTTTTTATTACTCGATATTGTGATTCAACAAGTACGACTATAAAGGTAAATAAAGGTAAAACCAAGGCAAAATTTTGCCTTGATTAACCTACCGTACTTAAAAGTATATTCGAAGAAGCTTCCGAAGAAGCCCAAATTTAAATTACCTCCAATCGAGTTCAAAAATTATTCAGAGATTGCAGTCTAGGTTTGGCATAGAGGATCTCCAAATTGAATTTCGTGTCCATGGAAAATATTGGAAAAACTGCAGAAGTTACAACTTTAAAAACACACTTTAGAGTGGGTTAATGACATTTTTACAGAGTGAAGTTTAAAATGAAAAAAAAATTGATTTAGCAACGGAAGCTTTTCGTTTACTAGCTGAAAATGAATATAAATTCAATAGTCTTATTGCCAAGATAAATGTATAATTACAAAGAACTGATCAGTCCTTAGCGTCCTCTGATGGGTTAATAAATTATGAAATTTACAGGTGTATATTTTTATTATAAGTAATTTTTTGTACTTGAAATAAATTTAGTTTTTTACAAAACTAATATGCACCATTTAAAATGTTTACAAAAAAAAACAAAACAAAAAAAAACAAAAAAACAATTTAACTTCAAAGGTAAATGAACCTCAACGCAACACGATACAAAAATTAAAAAATAATATGGAATGATCCAATTATCCAATCCAAAAATTAGAATTTGTGAAACTTCAAATCAAATAATACAATAGCGCAATTTCAACTTACATTGCAGAAGACTGCCGACCGACAGCGAACTATACCGATTCTCCCGATCGTATATTATATTTTAAGTTCCAGTACTTGGCCTTGTTGGCAACACTGTCGCTGTTCAGATAATTAAATTTCGAGAAAATCAAAATATTAAAATATGATGCACGTGCTGCCATCTATTCAAGAAATTGTTAAACGTTAGTTTATTTGAACACCACTCGTTTTAACTGCGGCGTGAACATACCCCCTTAACATTTCAGGCTGTTCTTGGAAGGCCCCCAACTGACTTAAGTCGCTAAGAATCTATTAAAAATTGATTACACAGCTTAGAAACACTACAGCCTGTTCTGAAATCCACTACATTTCCTTGAAGCGTTCTATGACAGCTTTTAAACATTCTAAGATATCCTGGAACATTCTATACTGTCTTCTATACTATCTATACTATTCTATACTATCTGAGTTGTTCGTAGACTGCTGAATCATTCTGGACGGGTCTAAAAACTTTCCGAACTGCCGTGAATTTCACCTGAATCTCATGAAGTATTCTAGGATAGTCGTTAAATATTCTTGTCAGATCCAAAACATTTCCAACTGCTCTAAAATTCTCCAGCAGCACTTAAAACATTCTTAAAAACTGTCTATGCACCCCTTCCGTCCTTAAAGCGCTTTTGAAACAGGACAGTTCTGAAACATTCTAGACTATCCTTAGTCCTTCATAGACTCTAAAAACATTCTCAGACAGTCTGGAAACATTCCAGTTTGCATTGCCTATTGAAATAATTCATGGCAATCACTCAAATATTTGATTTGGTCCCGAAAGCATTTATCGCTGTTGAAACATGTCTGGATGTCTAGAGCAGCCTGAGAAATTCCATTAGAGCCTCTAAATATTGTAGACTGTCAGATATTTTTAAAAACTGTTGTACAAGAAATTTTTCTTTTAAAATACAGTATGTATATCACAGCATCCACCAGGAAAATTTTACAAGCGATCCTATAACATTGTTCGTTTTTTCTTTCACTCACAACCACTCTATCACTGATATGAGTGACTTTAAGGCTTGGTTTGATATTCGTTCGTATTTTTCACTCACAGGTATGCTAAATCATTCCAGACAGTTTCGAAATTCTCTAGACTGTCTAAAATCCTACATAAAACCTTTAACTGTTCTTGGACAATAAAAATATTCTAGCTTATCCTGAAATCCTCAGGGTACATTAAAACTCTTTAACTGCGCTAAAGTCCTTCAGAATGTCTTGAAACTTTCTCGCGCAAAATTTCGAAATATTCCAAGCTGTTCTAAATACCTCCAGCATTTACATTCCATGAAGCAGTTCTTAAACATTCTACATTCTAAACATGGGACATTTCCATTCTGCCTTGCAATTAATTCCTCATAGACTTAAACGGTACATTCCCTTATTCTCTACAGTATAAATCTTTCCAGCCTGCTGTGAAGTCTACCAATGAGTCATTAAACATTCAAGGTAGATCCAAAACTGTTCTAAGCACCCAGGTAGTTATTTTATAACTGCTCAGAGTGTCTTAAATATTCTAGGGCACTTTCAAAACATTCCAGTTTGACTTTAAGTTCTTCAGAACATCTTGAAACAATTCAGGACTGTCACTATACATTCTCAACTGTCCTAAAATTCTTCTGATACTCTTGGAACATGCTCGGACAGTCTAGAAACGTTTTAAACTGTAATGAACTCCTTTAGAGGTTCTTAAAGCATTCCAGAAGAGCCCTGAAACATTTGAGGTTTCCTGAGATACTGCAAGTTGGCTTAAGTATTTCAGAACATCTTGAAACATTCCAGGGCAGTCCCAAAATATTCCCAACTGCCTTATTATAATAATAGTCTAGAGATACATTCTATAAGAGTCTAGGAAGCATTTGAAGCATCTAGCTCTCAAATCATTTCACGCGAGTCCTGAAACATTCCAGGTTACTTTTTTCCAAAACATCTTGAGTTATTCCAGAAGCTGTCTGGAATGTTTACATTACCAACAGTCCTAAAACTTTTCAGAGAATTTTCAAACATTCTCGGACTGTCTAGAATCACTTCGGGTTGTGCTGAAGTACTTTATATCCTGTAGAATAGATCCTATTCTCCAGGACACTACTTAAACATTTCAAGTTACCTCAAGTTTTTTAGAAGCATTTGACACATTCTATAACAGTCCAGAAATATTCCAGTGTAACTTAAGTTCTCCAGAACATCTTTATACAATTCGTGACTGTCTAGAAACATTCTAAGTTGTGATGAAGTCCTTTAGACCCTCTTAAAGCATTCCAGAAGAGGCCTGAAACATTTCAGATTTCCTGAAATACTGCAAGTTGACTTAAGTCTTTCAGAACATCTTGAAATATTCCAGGCCAGTCTCAAAATATTCCCAACTACCCTATATTAGTATTTCAGGAGAGTTTTAACCATTCCAGGTTACTTGGACCTCCAAAACATCTTCTAGGAAGCATTCTAGGATAGTAAAAAAAAACTAGAGTACCCTATAGTCCTTCAGACTCTTGAATCCTTCACGGTATTCTAGAAACATTCCTGATTGATCTGAACCATTCGAGAATCAATTAAAACATATCAGAACAGTCCAGGCTATTCTGAAGTACATTAAAACCTCTTGAATATTCCAGAATACTACTGGCACATTCTAAGTTGCTTCAAGTTCTTCAAAGGTACTTAAGACATACTCAAATAGTTCAGAAACATTCCAATATATCTTATGAGTCCTTTAGTGCATCATAAAGCATCAGGAGACCTTTGAAACATTCCAGGTTGCCTTAAGTCCTCCAAAACAACTTGAAGCATTCCAAGATAGAAAATCTAGATTGTACTAAATATACTATCTAGAAACATTCCTCACTGACTCAATTGAAGTATTGAAGTGCAGTTCTCAAACATCAAGTTGTCCCGGAAGCTTACTGGGCTGTTGAAATATTCTTGGATACTCTCAGATCGTCCTGAGTAATAAAGCATTCAGTAAAATTGTCCTCAAGCCTTTAGAGTATCTTAAATATTCCAGGAAACTACTGGAATTTTTAAGACATTCCCGAAACGTCACTAACTATCCTTAAGCTATTTTGCAACATTCTAGAACAGTCTGAAAACATGAAACAAGTCCTAATGAAGTTCTTCAGATCTCTTGAAGCATTTTAAGACAGTCTTGAAATATCGCAAGGTGCCTCAAGTCTTTCAGAATAATCCCGAAACATTCCTAATTTCCCAAAAATTTCTCCTTGTTGTGATACATCCCTTAACAAACCTAGAAACATTTTAGGCTACCTTGATGTTCTTTAGAACCTTTTGAAGCATTTCAGGAGAGTCTTAAAAGAACCCATATTCTCCTTAATGCTTCCAGAACATCTTGAAATATTCCTGAAGAGTCTTAAAACACTCTATACTGCCCTACGGTCCTTCAAAAACTCTTGAAACATTCTCATTCACTCTAAATATTCCACGTCCACTGAAGTCCTCCAAAGTCTTCATTAAAATATTTTGTACGTGATTCTACAACTTGATATACAGTTTACTTACCTTTTTTTAAATCCTTCCTTGCTGCCACTGTCAGTCTTGGGGTGATACGTGTAGGTCACATGCTACAACTTTTTTATTGCAACAAAAATTATACTTTCATTTTTTTTTCAGTGTATGATATGTCATTCGGAAGAGTAGGTGCCCCATGTACCATTTGTGATATTAAGTTAATAAGTTGGGAAGAAGGCAACTACCGCATTACGGACAAACCATATCCCCGCGGAGAAATAATTTTAGGCGGAGAAAATATCAGTGCAGGGTATTACAAACTTCCAGAGAAATCAAAAGAGGAATTCTTGGAACAAGACGGAACCAGATGGTTTAGAACCGGTGATATTGGTGAAATTCACGAAGATGGTGTACTCAAAATCATAGGTGAGCATTTATTTAGAGTTATGTTAGCAAATTTTTTTTCGTTTGTCGTCTACACAGATCTGAGGTGGCTCCTGAATAGGTTACTACCTTGAAAACATTTTTTTTTTAATAAATTTAAGCGTTACTTCTTTTATTTTTAGTTTTTAGGAACTGTTTTTCTATTTAAATCAACAAATTCTCCGTTACAGATCGTAAGAAAGACTTAGTGAAACTACAAGCCGGAGAATACGTATCCCTCGGCAAAGTCGAAGCCGAAATGAAAACTTGTCCATTAGTCGATAACATTTGCGTGTATGGGGAATCGAGTAAAGACTTCTGTGTCGCGCTGGTCGTGCCAAATCAACAACAACTCAAAGATCTTGCCGCCAAGAAAGGAGTCAACGATCAATCGTTCGAGGAGCTTTGCGTGAATGAAACGGTCGAGAAAGCGGTTGTGCAAGAATTAGCCGAACATGGAAAGAGAAGTAAGTTGGTCTTTCATTAACCTATTTTAATTTTAGTGATGTTTATTAACTCCAGGATACTACAAAAATCTCGTTTTAGGATGCACGGAATTGTGTGAGATTAAGGGAAAGAAGTTCTCGTTTCTTGAGTGTTCTAAGGTGCCCATCAATTATTTCACGAAACCCCGAAACATTTTATAGTATTCTAAAGTCCTTCAGAGGCTCTTAAAATATTCTCCGACAGTCTAGTAACATTTCACATTGGCCCTAATTATTCTAGAGCATCTTGAGTTCTTACTGGACCGTTCTTAAATGTTTCGGATTGTTCCAGAACATTTCACAACATTCTAAAGTCATTCAGGGACTCTTGAAACATTCTAAAACAGTTTAACAACATTCCACAGTTCCCTGAATTTATAAAGAGTTTTTTTTAAGTATTTCTGGACAGTCCTTAAACATTTGGTGTTGTTCCGGAACATTTCATTATATCTTAAAACCTTTAGAGACCCTTGAAACATTATCTGACAATCTAGAAACACTCCAAACTTTTCTGGAGTCTCCCAAAGTTTCTTGTAGCCTTCCAAGATAGTCCTTAAATATTTCGAACTGCTCTAAAATCCTTCAGAAAACCTAGAAATATTCTCGAACAGTCTTGAAATAGTTTAGGCTATCCTGAAGAACTTTAGAGGCTTTTGAAGCATTCTTCGTCAGTCTAAATATAGTGCGAACTGCACTAAATTCCTTTAGATACCTTTACAACATTCTCGAATAGCTTCGAAATACAAAGGTTGTCTTGACATCCGCTAGAGTCTCATGAAGCTTCAGAAACAGTTGTTAAATATTTTCAAATGCACTAAAGTCATTTATATGCACCTAAAATATTTTACGACGGTCTAAAAGCATTTCGGTGTGTCCTGAAATACCTCTCGTGACTCTTGAAGCATCCAAAAACAATCCTAAAGTTCTTTAGAATCTCTTGAATCATTTTACCGTGCCTTGAATTCCTCCAAAGCCTTTTGAAGTATAACTGAAAAGTCCTTAAACATTTCAGGATGCGTCGGAAGATTCCATAATGACCTATATACCTTTAATTGATCTTAAAACATTCTTGTACGTCCACTTATCCCCTCAAGCATTTCCAGAACATTTTTTAAACATTTCAGGCAGTAGCACAACATTCTCAACTTCTTCAGAGAACTCTGAAGCATTATCAGACAACAGAAAAAAATCCAGACTTTCCTGAAGTCCAGCTTCTTATAAAGCATTTTAGTACATGTACCAAATAGTCAGAATTGTCTTAAAGTCTTTTAAAATGTATGTAAATATTCCAGAACAGTTCCTAAATATTTACAATTGCGTTTAAAGTTCCTCCGACTCCCACGAAATATTTCACGACATTTTCGAAATATTTTGTAGTGTCTAAGACCCTTTAGTGACTTTGAAACTTTCACTTTAGTCCCTCAGAGTCCTCAAGAACATTTCACGAAATTCTGGAAATGTTCTAACGCTTTCAAAGACATTGAATGCTTTCTGGGCTAGTATATAAACCTTCCAGGCAGCTCTTATTCCATCCAGATGACTTTCAGAAATCTTGATACTTTTTCGGCTAGTCTATAAACCTTCCAGCAGCTCTCATTCCATTTAAATATCCTTGTAGCGTATCAGGATACTTCTCAAATATTCCACACATTTCTGGAACATTCCAATCTGTAAAAAAGTCATGTACAATTTCTTAAAACATTCGTGAATAGTTTTAAAACACTCTTAAGTCCTTTGGAATCTCTTAAAACTTTCTCTGGCAGTCCAGTAATATTCTTGAACAGTCTTGAAATAGTTTAGGCTATTCTGAAGTACTCTAAAAGCTCTTAAAGCATTCCTCATTAGTCTAAATATAGTACTAACTGCAATAAACTCCTTCAGAGACCTTTATAACATTCTCGAATAGCTTCGAAATAAAAAGGTTGTCCTAAAATCCGCTAGAGTCTCATGGAGCTTCAATAACAGTTGTTAAACATTTTTAATTGCACTAAAGTCATTTATATGCACCAAAAACATTTTAGGACGGTCCAAAAACATTTCAGAATGATCTGAAAAATCCCTCATGGCTCTTGAAACATTCAAACATAGTCCTAAAGTCCTGCAGAATCTCTTGAATCATTTTACAGTGCCTTGCATTCCTCCAGAGCCTCTTGAAATGTTCCTGATAAGTCCTTAAACATTTCAGGCTGCGCCGGAACATTCTATAATGACTTACATACCTTTAATTGATCTTAAAACATTCTTGTAAGTCCACTTATCCACTAAAGCATTTCCAGGACATTTTTTAAACATTTCAGACAGTACCAAAACATTCTCAACTTATTCAGAGAACTTTGAAGCATTCAGACAATAGAAGAAATCCGGGCTTTCCAGAAGTCCTTTGGAGCTTGTTAAAGCATTTCAATACATTTACAAAATAGTCCAAACTGTCTTAAAGTCTTTTAAAATGTATGTAAATATTCCCGAACAGTCCAAAATAGTGACTTTGAAACTGTCCCTCAGAGTCTTCAGGAACATTTCCTAAGGGTTTTAAAGACCTTGAATGCTTTCTCGGCCAGTCTATAAACCTTCCAGGCAGCTCTCATTCCATCCAAATCCCCTTGTAGTGTATCAGGATACTTCTCAAATATTCCAGACATTTCCGAAACATCCTCCACTTCATACACATCCTACACTCTAGACATATTCCAATGTGTCCAAAAGTCATCTACAACTTCTTAAATCATTCGTGACAGTTTTAAAACAGACTGAAGTCCTTTTGGGAATGGTATCACACATTCCCATTAACTCGGCTCATAGGGCACAGAGCCACCTTCTCTGTCGCTCATATGAGTAATTCCTGTCTGGCGCGTCCATGTCGCGGGGGTGGGCATCTCTTGCTTCAGTAGACCGGAGCTAGTAGATGGCTAAGTTCAGATAGGGACCCAGTTCCGTGGGGTATAACACGGCCCCCTTGCCCAGGGATACGGGTGAAGACCACAACGATGATGAAGGTGGAGAATATAGTATTCGGTTCAGTGAATTCAACGGAAGTGGCAACCCTGTTTCTAGGGATAGTATAGAATCAACCTGGTGAAGGGCAGCAGCGATCACCAGTACTAGAATTAGGCGTAAAGGAAATGATCCTAAACCGGCTTCTTACTAGAATACCGTAGGTGAGACTGAAACAGTTAGAGGGCTACGGTACTGCGATGCTGAAAGCAAGTAGGAAACTACCGCATTATATTCCTCAGGACATCCGTCCGTAGATTTTTTCTTGTCATGTTGGAAGAAACAAAACAAACGGCCCCTAGTCCCGGGCAGGCCTTAAATGGTCAAGGGGTGCGAAGAATCTCCCGGTTTCAACTTGATAAGACAATCAAAATTGCTACGTGGAATGTCAGAAGCCTATTTGCAGCAGGCAAACTACAAAATCTAATTCAGGAAATGAACAGAATTAACATCGATATTCTCGGCATAAGCGAATTGCGATGGGAAGGCACAGGCATGATCAATACTACTGGTAAAACCCTTTACTACTCATGCAGTGATAGCACAGACAGCACAGATAGCACAAACTTTGTCCCGATCTCCGAAAGAGTCATACTTATTCAGTTGCATGGAAAAGTTAACATAAATATTATACAAGTCTACGCCCCTACAGCAGACAAGCCAGAAGAAGAACTAGAGCGATTTTATCAACAGCTAGACGAAGCCTTAAAGGTGACTAAGAATCACGAAATTAACATCGTATTAGGAGACTTCAACGCAAAAGTTGGGGAAGGAGCTGTAGATCACGTAGTTGGAAAATATGGCCTTGGTCAGAGAAACGACAGAGGGGACAGATTGATACAGTACTGTCAAGACAGAGATCTAGTCATAACGAATACTTGGTATAAGTTACCACCCAGGAGGCTTTACACATGGAAGTCGCCTTTAGACCGACATCAGGGCATTATAAGGAACCAAATAGATTATGTGACAATTAATAGAAGGTACAGGAATGCTATTACTAAGGTATCTGCATTACCTGGAGCAGACATAGGATCCGACCACAATCCCTTAGTAGCAAATATCAAACTGAGGCTCGCTACAGCTAAAAGAAAACACCAGAAGGCATCAGTAAACATTAGAAAACTCAAAAACAATGAAACAAATGAAGCGTACACAGAGGAAATAAACAATAGGTTCTCTAATATGGCAACTGTGAATGATGTTGAAAAGTCATGGACCACCATAAAAGAATCATTTGATGAGTTGAACAACACTTTTCTACTCGAGAGTAAAACAACTACCAAGAATGAGTGGATGACAGAAGAAATATTAGAGATGATGGAACAACGCAGGCAGTGTAAGATCAGGCAGGACGAAGTAGGGTACCGAAATATACACAGTCAAATTCGTAAAGAAATTATAGCGGCGAAGGAGATCTGGATGACTACACTTTGCGCCGAGGCTGAAAGCCTATATAAACTTGGCGACAGCTTCAATCTTCACAAGAAAATTAAGGAAATTGCTGGTGTCTTCAAGAAAAAAACAAGTCACTGGTATACATAATGACCAAAATGAATTAATAACGGACCCTAGCGATATACTTAATACTTGGAAAATGTACACAGCCAATTTGTTCAATGATGACAGAACACAAAAACCACCACAACTGGGAGACCATTTGTATGGCCCAAGTATTTTGAAAGATGAAATTGTACACGCTATCAAACTACTAAAAAGTAACAAAACCCCAGGACCAGATGATATGTACGCAGAAACAATCAAGTTACTTAATGAAGAAAACCTAGACATTATTGTCAAGCTCTTTAACGACATCTACGATACGGGCCAGATTCCAAAAGATTGGCTTTGATCTACATTTATTGCCCTACCAAAAACAACACGTGCGAACTTCTGCAAGGACCACCGACTAATAAGCCTAATGAGTCACTTTTTAAAACTTTTCCTACTAGATTGTTTAAGAAATGTGAAGAGGTCAGTGGATGGAGTCAGTTTGGTTTCAAAAATGGACTTGGCACGAGAGAAGCGATCTTTAGTATGCAAACATTGATACAGAATTGTTTAGGTCAAAGAAAGGATGTTTTTATCTGTTTCATCGATTACGAGAAAGCATTCGATAATGTAAAACATGAATTGATGATAAAATACCTACAAGAGTTGGGATTGGATGCAAAGGATATAAGAATCATCGCCAATCTGTATTGGAATCAGACAGCAACAGTACGTCTTCAAAATTTCAACGAAATAGAAGATTTTTCCATTAAAAAAGGAGTAAGGCAAGGTTGTATACTGTCCCCAATGCTGTTCAATTTATACGTAGAAAAAGCATTCGCAGAAGCAGTGGAAGACTCTAATAAGGGTATTAAAGTTAACGGCATATTTATTAATAACATCAGGTATGCCGATGATACAGCCATAGTGGCAGATAACATCGAAGATCTTCAATGCCTTTTAAGTGATCTAACTCTTGCAAGTGAAGCTCGGGGTTTGAAAATAAATATCAAGAAGACAAAATCAATGATTATAAGTAGAAATGATTACCCCAACGCAAATATATATGTCTCTGGAGAAGAAATCGAACAAGTCAGGCAATTCAAATACTTGGGATGTTTGCTGACTGAGGGTTGAGACCCCGAGAATGAAATAAAGAGCAGAGTTGAACAAGCCAGAAATGCTTTTTTGAGGCTTCGTAAGTTTCTGACTGATCGCAAATTGGACTTCAATCTCCGATACAAGATGCTTAAGTGTTACGTGTGGCCTGTTCTGCTGTACGGAATGGAAGCATGGACGTTAAAGGCCAGTTCCATTAACAAACTTGAAGTGTTTGAAATGTGGTGCCTGCGTCGAATGCTCAGAATATCATGGACGGACAGGGTCAGAAATGAGGAAGTACTCAGAATAGCGGGCTTACAGGATAGGGAACTTTTTAATTATGTAAAAAGTAAGAAGACTGCATACTTGGGGCACATTATACGAGGAGAACGATACACTTTTCAGCAACTGATACTCGAAGGAAAAATAGAGGGTAGGACAGGTCTCGGACGTAAAAAAATGTCATGGCTGCGCAATATTCGACAATGGACAGGAATCCACAGCTATGAAATGCTTCGCAATGCTGCTAAAAACAGAATTATTTAAACCAGAATATTTAACATCTCACCTGACAAGACGATGTACGGTGGACGCCTACGCAGAAATGCACGGCACCTTAAGAAGAAGAAGAAGTCCTTCAGAATCTCTTAAAACTTTCTTTGACAGTCTAGTAATATTCGATAGATCCTTAATGTCTCTTATAGTCTCATAAAATATTTCACGACATTTTTGAAATATTTTACACTGTCTACAAACTGTATATAAAACTTCCAGACAGTCCTTAGTCGATCTTGTTGCTCTTCCAGTATTCCAAGGCAGTTCTTAAACATTTCTGTCTCGAAATATTTCTAACTGCCCTTAACTTATGTTAAGTCCTCTAGGGCATCGTGAAGCTTATCTGGTCAGTTATAAAGTACTTAAAACTGTTATAAAGTCTCAAGAGCCCCTTAAATAATAGTCTTTTGAACATTCCAGGCCAGTAGTTAAAACCTTATGTTAACATATGTCGTTTATTTTCAGGTAAATTGGCCAAATTTGAAATTCCTGCAGCTATTAAGTTGGTGACTGAAGTATGGTCCCCTGACATGGGACTTGTTACAGCAGCTTTTAAATTAAAGAGGAAAGACATCCAAGAGAGATATAAGCACGAAATCAACAGAATGTACGCCTCCTGAAAGTTACAATACCTTTAATTTTCTTATGATTATTGTAGTATGGGTGTACAAGGGATCAGGTAGGACTTTATTGTCGAATTTTGGAAATACGTCGAGATCAAAATGATATTCAAGATATAAACTACATTTTTAGTCCAATTTTATTTATAAAAGTATAAAAAGTAACTGAAGTATGAAATATTTTTGCATATATTTCACTTTTTTCGTTAAAATCCCGCTTGATTCCAGGGGTATGATTTTTAAGCGTTGTATTATAGCACAATGTATAAAAAGTATTTGTATTTTTTCTGTAAATATTTAACGAAGCTATCAAATAAGATTTTATGTATTATTTTATTTATATATTAGCTCTTGAGCGTATACTGTATATAAGAACAAATGTTTATTTTTAAGTTTAAGAGTATTTTTGTTGGAGATAGTTACTTAAGAGGCATAGTGCTGGCAAGTACCTTAAAAAATTCAAGTTTTTTTTCTACATATTTCTTTAAAGTATTTTTTCGACTTAATTTCCACTCCAACTTTAGCAACATATTCAAGAAGTGCTAAAAATTGAATTATAATTTTAGGTCAGGTATTGGCCAAAATCTTCCAACGAACTCCTTGAAAGAACGTTTCTAACAAATTGTGCAAACGCGCTCATTCCAACTTTATTCTCCACTGCGGTTCTTCCTCCAACTTTCGCAAGTCTATCAAGTTTAGGCCAGGCATTGTACCAATTGAGTTTAAGAAAGCAAGTTTTCCACAAATTTTGTAATTATTGGCAATTTTACTACACATATCGCTCCATTCATCTTCCAAGTTTAACAACATATTGCGCGAATGGTGTTTATAGTGAAAATTACACAGATTCTCATAGATGACTCTTTTACCATCAATTATTTTAACTTTTAGGTCAGGCTTTGAACAAATATATTAAAGTTGAGTCTCTGAATGGTTTTTTTCCAATAAACTCTTGAATCAGTACACATTTTTTATATAAAAGAAGTTTTTATTGTGAGAAATTGCTCAGTGGTGTATTTAGACATGATTTCCTTGATGGTGAATCGTGTATATGGACTGCGCCATTTTTAATTATCACATCTTCATATTCTTGAAACTCAATACTATAATTAATCTAGTTTAAATTTGAAAGGTTCCCTTATCAGCCGTTGCAAAGTTGTTTATTTATACGAGAGATAAAATATAATTATGCGGATACATGAAAAGTGATACAAAACAGTTTTTAATTAAAATTTTTCGTATGTCACATGCGGAATGTGCTATTCAAAATTCCTCGATATATTCTGTGCTCTATTTAATATTTCAAAGCAAAAATACTCTTAAAATGTTATTGTTAGCATCACTGTGGTTCCTTTAGGGGTAATTAATTCATGTTTTGCTTATTTTTCGCAATTTTCAACCTGTTTTACTTTGAAAAAACTATTTTAAAGGTGCTATTCGTCTGTATAGGTCATTTAAAAAACAGAAAACATGAATTGTTTCACAAGGGACTAACTTCACAACTATGCGATCTTTCAACGAGCAATACAGGAGATGTAAGCAATAAAAAAAGAAACAACTGATGTCGAAAAATACAATTTTGTGTACTTTGGGGGAAGAATTATACTGTAATAATTAATATAGTTCGTTGCAACTGAACGTGAACTCCATAAGTCTTCTGTACGGCTGGTTGGAATGAACTTATAGACGGTTGTGGTATTTTAGTAGCAATATTATGAGATTTTTTTCGCATATTTGTTATTGTTGTTTTTCTTTTTGTTATAAAGTGTTAAGTTTTAGTAAAAGACTGTTCTTGCACCGATTTAGGTAATTGTCAATTTGTGAACGATCGGTCTAAACATCTATTTAATTAAAGACATGTACTTAAGGATAAAAAATAGTTATTTACGCAAGCGGCAAATGTTCAGGCACCAGGAATAGATTTTTTTTACAAAGTTAGACGTTTAATACGATATTTTTTAGCGTTTAGCCGGTATTATTGGAAACATCTGCTTTTTTGCAAGAAATTATACTTATAGACAATAAATGTAAATATTATAGTTAATAAAAATGAAAACGGAACGAGATTTTTACTTAGAAATTGCAAGAAAGATTAGTGGAGCTGATCAGGCAGCTTTTATTTCTATTCTGTTGTTTTTTTCTTTACTTTCGACTTTCTATACCTCAATTTAGTATTTTCATATTTTTTACCATACTTTTGCTGATTCGGAGATTTTCTGACTAAATATGGTCCTTTAGAGCTGGATTTTCAATTTGAAAACTTTTATTGTGACTTTTTTTGTTCTATATCATATTTTTCCGTTTGTAAACGCATTTTTTAAATTAATACAAGTAAAATTTTGGTATTTCGTTCTTCCACTTATCTTTACCATTTTTTTGTCAAATCTTTTTATATGAAATGTTTTGCTTAGTTTATCTCATTTTTATTTTTCTTCTAATCAATATCGATGTCGATAGTAATTGAAATATAGGTGGTAATAATATTTGTTCCGGTGGTTAGCTCCTTGGAAATGCTTCTTAAACGTACAAGACAAAATGTTTTACAAATAATAACTATATATTAATGATGCCTTGGTTCCTGTACATTTGTCATCGCTTTTCTATGTTTTAAATACCTTTACTAAGGTATTAAGTATGCATGTACATATAGATAGGATATTATAATAAAAGTACATAGTTGTTGGAACATAGTTATATACATGGCAGAGCTGCGTTACAATATATCAGCAGAATGGATCTATATATTAAAATATCCTAAAAATATTTTTGAACACGTGGATTAATAAAACTATTATTACAATTTTAAACTGGCTTTTATTACACCTTAGTGTTTTTCCCTAAAATGAATCTTGAAACATTCCAGTACATTCGAAACAGTATAGTCCAAATTAGCAAGGTGTGCTATGTAAAAATGCACTTCAATGCTTATGTTGCAACCTAGCTTTTGGAAGCTCTCCAAGAGTTGCTAGACAATGTCTGACGAATTCGTTTCTCACGAATTCGTTTCAATTTCTGACATTGTTACCACCAAATGTTTATCTGCAAGAAGTTGCCGAATCTGTGGACCATCAAAAACACCGTTCTTTATCTTTTCAAATGACAGGAAATTTCGACACGAGATACTTAAAACAGTCTCCTTCAGTTGGCAAAGCTTTAACAAATTGCTTCATGAGACCCAATTTTATATGCAGAGGTGGAAATCTAATATTCTTTCTGTCGACAGTGGCTGATGAACAATGTTTGGATCACCAGGTCTCGGGTCCGGTCTTGGCGATTAATTCGACTGCACCCAATGTTGCGTACGAGCTCTACTGTCTCACATACACAAAAAGCAGGTCTACTTTGTGTATCCACGTTGTTGACCAAGTAGGAAGCAGACCATATTAAGGTAAACACAAATGATCCATTGGTGCATGTGATATTGCAAGAGGTCAATGACTTTTTTTACGTCATCTGCTTCACGCAAACAACCTGAATGGCCAATTGGAACTGAACCAAATAAATTTCCATTGTGGATGAGAACACACTTCAAGCTTTGCATCGAGCTGTCTATAAACAGTCGCAGTCAGTTGCGTTATAGTTTGAAATTCCCAATTCTTCCATTAACCCACTTACATTAAAGCAAAACACAAATCCACCATCACAATTATTGTGTCTGCACCCATTGCATAATTTCATGATGTATATGCTATGAAAGTGCTACTAAAACTCAATTGAACAAACTGGAAATCATCCAACCCACAGCATTACGCATAGTTTTCGGAACTTTCAGAACCACGCCAATTAACAGTCTTCAAGTCTTACACGGAGAACCTCTACTATTTCTTAGAAGGCAATATTTTTCTACGTGTTGTGCTAGTAAATATCTCAGTATAAATAAAAATGAAGGTCCTTTATAGCAAACTTAATAAAGAAAAACTCTCCAAATCTCTACTCAAATTACTCCCCTAGAAACTTACCTTTCAACGAACGCATAAATCGATTTGAATATGATACACATTAGTTAAACGCCACTGCTACAAACAGATGCCAGTCTCTTCCCTGGAAAGTTCAAATACCACAAGTAGATTTTACCTTACTCAGTTATCTCAAGCATTCACACAATCCCTCTGAAATTAAACAATTCCACTCTACCATCTCCAGATATCCTTATTTCAAACTAATTTTTACTGACGCCTCCAAAAGCAACAATAGTGTAGCTGCTGCAGCTATTTTCGAAGACAGTACCTCTGTCACCCGCTTAGCCAATGAGTGTAGCATATATACTGGAGAAATGATGAGAAACAGATGTATCCTACTCATGCCAATTTAGCACAAATAAAAGATATGCTTTACAATGCCCAAACAAGGGCTAAAAACATAAGATTCTTATGGGTGCCATCCCATGTCGGGATAATAGGCAATGAAGCGGCTGATAGAGCAGCAGCAGAAACTCTGAATAACGTAGCAATTTCTATGATGCAAAACATACCATTTTGAGACCAAAAAACATTAATAAAAACCCTACTTCATAAAACCTGGCAGGAAAAATGGAGCCAAACGGAAGCACAACTAAAAATTAAAAAATCAGATGTTGCTTCTGCTTTACTACCACTCCCAGCTCAAAGACGTGACCAAGTAGTTCACAACAGATTGAGGTTAGGACACACAAAATTCACACATGAATACATCATTTCCAAGAACCCTCAGCCGCTGTGCTACAACTGCCAAATACCATTTTCAGTACGACATATAATAATACACTGCCCAGTGTATTCAACAGCAAGATCGACAGCGAAAATACAATCCAACCTAAAAGAAGCTTTAATAAAAGACAGTAGTAAAGCACTAAAATATCTTAAAAATTTGAAATTGTATAATAAACTGTTAAAATTTATGAGTTCGTGTTGTTAAAGCTTAATCCATTTATTCATCTCCGGAACGGAATAGTGATAATGTTTTATAAACAATATTAAGAAGATTCTTTAGGTAGATAACTATTTTTGCAATTTATATTTATAGATAAAAATGCTTTAAAAGTACCTAATGTTTTTTGTTTTCCATTCAAATGGTTTTTCAACTTCATCATTTCATTCAAAACATTTCATCATTCTCTAGTATTTTGCTATTTAAAATTTTGTGGTTTTATTATACTCTATTTTTAAAATTTTTTATCCATATTGATCATATGCATCAATTATTGGTAGCAAGAAAATGAACAATGTCCTTTCTTTCATTCATTAAAAACTTTTACAACAAATTCGTAGATAAATATTCATATGAACAAATTAATCCTCTCCCTGGTTGGCTGTTGCAAATAGCCCGTCGCTAGCTAACCCTCTTATCTATGGCACAGTATATTGCTTAAAAAGAAGATTCTTTTTAAGCAATATACTGTGTCTATGACCCACGGTTCGTAGATTTACTACAGGCACAGAATAATAAAAAATCAGAATGCCCACTCTACCATGGAAAATTAAGTACGCGCATCTCTTTCGCGCAGACGTGCCGCCATGTTTTAGAAGGAACCAGTGTTGTTTATGTGGTGTGCATAGAAAAATTAACCCGGTTTAATTGACTTCATAAACATACATGCAATTATATTAACATTGTTAAATATAATAACATAAATATAATATACTTAAACATAAATATAAACAATTACATAACCTCACAAATCATATGTCTGTGTTATGTATTTCCTCCTAAAACATGGCGCACGTGCTGAAAAACTTCAAAGGCGGCATGTGAGAGTGGGCACGGTTCAAGGTTAGTAGATATTTAAGTACTTACATATCTACTAACCTTGGGCACGGTTGCCTCTTCCGACTGGGGTGGGGATGCTTGAGTTACGTCACCAGAGTACACAAGAATACAAAACCCATTTTTATTATATCACAATTTGTTCGTGGTAATTATTTTTCAGTTATTATTTGCTTTTTTATTTATCGTTTCTTAAATATCTTAGTTTACTTTATTTTTGTATTTGAAAATTTGGTGTTGTTTTCTGTAAAAACTTATTTTTAATTAACGAAGAAAAGTTATTTATTGTAGTTGTAGATCGTACCTATTGTAGGGTACCTTACATAAGAATATCTTTTTATAAGGTAGGTTAAAACTTTAAAATTTCATTCTGATCTGATCGATCAATTCTATTTATTATCATCATTATTTTATAGCAATTCCGAGTAAAACTTACTTAAACTTAAAATCAAATCAATTAAGATGTTTAAAAACAAACAAAATGTGAACCTACAGCAAGAAGAGATAAAAGAGTAGCAATGAAAACACAAACAGCTATCATTGAAGACTTATTAGAAAAATATTTAAAAAATGAAAAAAATAGTTATGTAGTGTATATTTATATCTATTCGAATTTAATAGTTACGTTTTTTACCAATTAAAATTTATTATATATTATTTAAATTCTTACATTAAATTATACAAGTAATTCTAACTCAGATAATCCTAGCTGACCTCTAAGGGTCGGTAACTCATTCAATAGTTAATCCAGTATTGATAATTCAGTATATGCGACAAATTTTCAGTGTAAAATGGAGATTGAAGTCCTAGATTTACGTAAATCTAGAACTTTATTCTGATTAATTTTAAGTACCAAACTGCCTACATATCAACAGTTTTCCATAATTAGGTATTATAATCCACTAAACATCTTTATTTCATAACTATCTTTACTATTTTCTATACATCAAAGACATGAAAACGCCGATTAACAATGTCATAACAATGTTACGATTCAAATTACGTCACGAGAGTACAGTTTCGGCACAGAATAATAAACAATCAGAATGCCAACTCTCCATGGAAAATTAAGTACGCGCAGACGTTCCGCCATGTTTTAGAGGGAACCAGTGTTGTTTACGTGGTGTACATAGAAAAATTAACCCGGTTTAATTGACTTACGGCAATCATAGACATACTATACAATTATATTAACATTGTTAAATATAATAACATAAATATAATATAATTAAACATAAATATAAACAATTACATAACCTCACCAATCATATGTCTGTGTTATGTGTTTCCTTCTAAAACATGGCGCGCGTGCTGAAAAACTTCAAAGGCGGCATCTGAGAGTGGACATTCTGATTGTTTATTGTTCTGTGGTTTCGGGCTTAATGTTCATTGGTTAGTAGGAAGAAGCAACCGTAGTAAGTCTACGAACCCTGTATGTATATGGCCTGTCGTGTTGAGTCACTTGAGTCTGCTTGAGCACAGAATAATAAACAATCAGAATGCCCACTCTCAGATGCCGCCTTTAAAGTTTTTCAGCACGCGCACCATGTTTTAGAAGGAAACATAACAGAGGCACATATGATTTGTGAGGTTATGTAATCGTTTATATTTATGTTTGATTCTATTATATTTATGTTATTATATTTAACAATGTTAATATAATTGTATAGTATCAGGGGTATAGTATCAAAAATGGCTATGTCCATAATTTTTAGAAATTGACATTTTGATGGCAACATTTTCATTTTGAGACAACCTATTACCTAAAGAAATAGTTAGGGATTAAATTTAGCTTAGTCCAGAGAAATTTTGATTAAAAAAAATTGGTTAGAAACAAACTTGGTTACGTCCACATAAACTCAGTATCAAACATAGCTACGCGCACGCCAGCCAATAGGAGCTTTTCATTCGAACCAAATCTGTAATGGCCGCTAATATAATTTATGTGTTGTTACGGTGTCAGTTTTTCGCATTTTAAATAAGAATTCCTGTGATTTCAAGTGAAATCTATAGTTTTTTGTCAAGATGGATGTTTTTCCTATGCCCGTTAATCAAAACCAGGCACGAAAACGGATTGCACAGCCACAAAACTGGAAGGCTAACAAGGCGAAAAAAGAGAGGTAAGTTAGTTCTTTTGCCAGGCCCGTACCGCAGGTCAGATTTAGGTATAGTCGAACCCCTATATTGAAATAGCCGTCGTGCCAAGCAAAAGTATTCCTATAATCGGGATTTTCTAATAACCGACCATTGGTGGCTAGTAGAATCGTTTCGGGACCTCAAATTTCTGTTCCTTAAACCAGGATATTCCTAAATAACCAGTAATCTTCTTCTAATAAGCGGGTTCGACTGTATAATCTAGTGATGGGTATAATTTCTAAAGCCACGTATCCATTTCGCGAGGCTACCACGCGCGTCATGTTCGTTGTCGTTACCACCGAAAGTGGACATCACACTGTTACGCGAGGCAAAGCCATAAAGCGTTTGCAAAACTGTTATAATTATTGAACGTGAGCTAGGCCGCGCGCGGCAGCCTCGTGAAATGGATACGTGGCTTTAGAATGGAGAATTTTTCGAGTAATACCGAGAACCCTATTCGCTTTTAATGCTGATTAAAAATAAATACTGTTTTATATTCATCAATGATTCCTGATTTGTTCCTGAAGTATCGAGAACCAAGAAACTTATTCGCTTTTAAAGTTGATTAAAAAATAAATACTGTTTTAAATTCATCAATAATTCCTGATTTGTTTAATGTTTACATTCGTTAATGGCTCTCACACTCACTGAAATGTGTTTACAGAAATGTGATATTTTCTGAATTTGATAATCTTGAGAATAAGCACATTTTCTTTGTTGAATGAGGAATCCTATTAAAAAAATTAGTATCAGTTGTGCAGTTGTATTGCGTTTTTTTTTGTATCCCAAAAAATATTCATTACATTAGTTTATTATATTCTTCGACCTCGAAAAAGATTTGTTTATAAAACTAACTTATCCGCTTATTATTGTTCTAAAGCTATTTCTATATATCCGCTTATATTGGTAATAATCGGCAAACGCATTTAAAAATAGCTGCTGACATCAGAGTACCAGGACACCGAGACTGAATACCTTAATAATATTATAGCGACGGCTTCCCCAGTCAGTATTCTAATACTTTGTTTGATTTAAGTGTTCGAGATATCTTGAGAACTTTCAGGAATCGAATACTCGTCGATTCTTGGTATTTGAGAACCCCATCACTAGAATAATATATGACTAATATCGTTGGATGTTTGGATAAGCTCTTTTAGTTTGCGACTAATGCTACCATGGGGCTAAAAACAATTTTGTATCTTTTATACTTTTTGTTTTAGGTATTCCGCAAAGAGTTTGCCAACAGTACCACGTTGTGAACATAAAACCAAAGTCTTTGAGTGCATTAAAGTGACGGGTAAAATATTACGACAATTTCATACGGCATTTTATAAGAATCCTGTCAAATCGGATCAAGATGCAATCATATTGAAATGCTGTCAAGCAGTACCGATTAAGAGAACACGACCAAGGACCTTAAGATTGGATCCTGCGACTGGAGATCAGACTTCCCTAAAAGCAACCAAACAGTGCACCATAAAATACCATATTAAAGTCGATAAACAATCTATTAGTGTTTGTCAGAAGATGTTTTTAGCAGCGCTATGCTTGAAAAAAGGACGTGTCTCAAATTTGGTTCAAAAGTCTTTTGTCAGTGGAGAGTTTCCAGGAGAAAAAAGAGGAGGAGACCGTAAAGCCAACCTATTCAAGGATAAAAAGGCATCAGTACATGCATTTATTCACAAACTTCAGTGTTCAGAACCACATTATTGTCGAAGCCAAAGTTCAATCCGGAAATATTTGCCAAGTGATCTAAATATCCGAAAACTGTACAAACTGTACAAAAATGAATGTTCAGCACCGGCAAAAGAATCTTACTTCAGACATATTTGCAACACCAAATATAATTTAGGATTTGGCAGTCCGAATACAGATATGTGCTCAACATGTCTGCAGCTACTAGAAAAAATAAAAACAGAGAAAGATGAAAGGAAAAAGGAACAGTTCAGAGTAGAAAAAAGAGTTCATAGCTTGAGGGCAAAAGCTTTCTATTCGCTGCTCAAGACAGAAGAAGAGGGTTTGAAAATAATTTCTTATGATTGCCAAAAAAACATGAATCTTCCTAAAGTACCAGATCAATCGTGTTATTATAGCAGGCAATTATATCTTTTTAATTTCACCATTGTGGAAGGAACTTCAAAGACACCACTTAATAAAAACAACGTTTTCGCAAATGTCTGGACAGAGAACACTTTCTCAAAAAATTCTAATACAATAGCATCTGCAGTGTATAACCACCTAAACAAGATGGATCTTACCAATATAACTACCATTAGACTGATCTCAGACGGCTGCGGAGGTCAGAATAAAAATTCCACCATAATCACAATGTGTTGCAAATGGTTGTTGGAACATCCTTCTATTAAAACAGTAGAACTGGTGTTTCCAGTAACTGGCCATTCCTATCTTCCAGCAGATAGAGTGTTCGGAAACAGTGAAAAGGAATTTCGTAAAATGGACACAATACTAAGCCCGAATCAGTACATCGATATCATTTCACAGCAGGCAACTATTGTAAAAGTAGGCGAAGATTTCATTGTATATGATTTCAAAAAGGAAGCTGAAACAATACTGAAACCTCCCGGACAGTGGAAAGTACAGTTTGCGCAGTGTAAAAGATTCTATTTAAAACGATCGAAGCGGATCGGAAATGTGTTGGTTCAGTCGGAGAGATTTTACAGGAATCAATCGGGAAAATATGAAAATGTTTGTCCGAAATCTAAAATTATGAGTATGATTGCTCCTAAAAAAATAATACAACACATACCTGTAAAGGCATTAAAAGTAAGGGACGTTAAAAATCTGCTATCAAAACATTTTGGAGACGACTGGCAAGGCCTGGAACAATTAAGTTTCTATTCAGATGTGATAAACATTAATGAAACTCTGGCTGAGAATGAAAATGACAATGAAGAATTGGAATGTGAACCAAGAGAAGAAACACCGCTTTTGTTGATATAATAATGTTAAAGTGATGATTTGTACTGAAACAAATATGTTAGAGATTTTTTTTTAGTTTTATCTTTTAACTATAGTTGTGTTGCTTTATACTGTTAGCCTGTAAGAAATATACATACCTAAACAAATAAATAAAAAAAAACCTAATTTTTGTACATAAATAGTTGACCAGCTGAAGAGTGACACGTGATGCTAGTGGTACATGATACAAGGCGCGAGGAAACCTCATAAAAATAATGTTCATGATACGCAGTATTTTGACACATTGTACTGAGTCCGGCCGGTGAGATTAGGTTGGAATCAAACTTGGTCAAGTCCTGTGAAGTTGGTATCAAACATGGCTATGTGCATCGCTTGGGATCAAAACAGGTTACGTCCAATAGTTTCTATCAATTCAGCGTATTTCCTGCTCTTGTAGTATGCTGAATGTAATACCAATATAAAGAGTGAGTTTTCTTTCATTGTTTTAACAGTAATTCTCAAATTTTAGTTGCTGCCATCAAAAGTGAGAGTGTTTTTTTACTTCCTGTCAAATCATGCATGATGGACGTAGCCAGATTTGATCCTATATACCCTGAAGTATGTCTATGATTGCCGTAAGTCAATTAAACCGGGTTAATTTTGTCTATGCATACCACATAAACAACACTGGTTCCCTCTAAAACATGGCGGAACGTCTGCGCGAAGGAGATGCGCGTACTTAATTTTCCATGGAGAGTGACATTCTGATTGTTTATTATTCTGTGGCTGTTATTGGAGCACATCTAATGACGCAACGACAATTACTGGAAAGATGAAACTAATTTCGGTAGTGTCTATTCAACCTAATGACGAACGATTTATAAAAAACACCCATTTTATACATCTATCTGGAAAGCAATATGACTTAATACGTAAATTAAATATTAACAGATTTTATTATAAAAATGTGGATTTAACGTAGGGAGTGGCTGCTTAAACACATTTCAGACATTTTATAAACCGACTATAGGATGAACAAAAAGATAATAAAAATACATCAATAAAAATTGCAAGTTATTAAAAAAGTACAGCGATGGCGATTTGCAGGGATTGAAAAATATATATAAAGAAATTGAAAATGTAAATGAAGTATCTCAAAAAATTTTGCCCTTGAAATTATTTTTATTAGTAATTTTAACACAATTTACTAGGAATCTCTTACAAAATTAAGCAACATTATTGGTACCATTGTAAAGATCTGCCAAAAGAGAGGTGTGCTGAAACGATTAGGAGAAGAAATGATTTAGATATTGATTGATGATTAAAGTTTTAATAATATTACTGCCAAAAAATTTTGACATTAGCTGTAAATTACACGTGACAAATTAATAAACAAAACCTTCTGGTAAATCAAAGATTTATAGCGGACTATTCTAAAAATGTCTACACTTTTATTGTTAAAAACAATTTATAATAGCAAGTAACTTAAGATTATATGAATATATAACAAAAAAAAGTTGTAGGAGTGTTGTGTTTCCTGATGTACATGTGGTCAAGATATATCAAATCTTCAAAAATGTGAGTAAACTAAAGGATTTTTTCATATACTTATTATAATTTCTAAACATATCTTAAGCCGTTAAAACTTTTCCGATAAAATCAATATTATCGATGTATAAGTGAGATTTGTGTAGATTATGTAATTTGCTTCATATTTTCGAACTATTTTTGCGAAGTTTCATCGATTTTACGGGACATTTCTCTGATTATTTTCATGAGTACTAGTCTGTTGACTGGAATTTGAATGCCTTTGGGTCGCGGTAGTCTACATTCTCAATTAGATCGTTCTTGATCTTTTTAAAACCACTAGAAACTTCATCACAGTCATCAAGCTGTTCGTGCAACTGCTTCACGATCAAATATTTTAGCAGGATTGTTGATCGGACAGTGTCAAATTTTAAAAATGTAAAAAATAGTCTGTACCGAAAACCTGATATATTTTTTTAAAAAAGACAAGGTTTTTTTAACTTGGCTAAAGTGCTAATCTCGCCCAAGAACCTTCCTCCTTTATCCGGACTTAGGATCGGCAACAAGAGCATTGAGTTGGTAAATCTACTCAATGATCTGGTAGGCGGAGTTAAAAACCTTGAGTTACGGAAATGTAAAACTACTAAGCTAAAATTAATATTTTCAACAAAAAATAAATTTACAACAATAAATTTAAAAGACAACTATTAATTCTTTACTTTATAACATTATAAAGAATGTTCTACGACATAACATTAAGTGAAATTAAAGACCTCTATAAAAAACGAAGGACAAAAGTTTTGAAATTGCTAACTCCCTGATAAATTAACTTTCACATATTAGATCCAACTTAACTACGCCTTTAAAACACAACGAATGACACCACAAAAGATATATCAAAGAGATAAGATAAAAGTAAAACTAAGAAATTGCAAAAAAAAAGAAATTCACGTACTTCGAAGACTCCATAACTTTCTAAAATTGCTAAAATGTTTTTAGATTTTAAGGTTTTATTTTTCTTGGAAATGAAAGACGCTACACAAAAATCCGACATAACTGATATTCCAGAAGAAAGATTCAGTGTTATCTATACCACTCTTGCTAAGAAAAAAACTAAGAAATTACAACAAAAAAAAAAGAAATTCACGTACTTAGAAGACTCCATCACTTTCTGAAATTGGTAAAATGTTTAGAAGATTTTATTTTTCTCGAGAAAGATGCTACACAAAGAGCCGAGATAACTGATATTCCAGAAGAAAAATTCAGTATTATCTATACCACTCTTACTAAGAAGAAAACTAAGAAATTACTAAAAAAAAGAAATTCACGTACTTAGAAGACTCTATAACTTTCTAAAATTGCTAAAATGTTTAGATTTTATTTTTCTCGGAAATGAAAGACGCTACACAAAAAGCCGAGATAATTGATATTCCAGAAGAAAAATTCAGTGTTTACATTAGACTTAGGTTTCTACTGAAACATTTACTCGTCGAATGTCGCTGTGGACCGAACGCCGGCGACTGGCTTATCACTGAAGGTTTTTTCTAGAATACCATTTACCAGCTATCTGTGAGTAAATATGGGGGCAAATTTTGAATTTGGTAAGGAAAACAAATTGAACCTTGTTTTATTTAAAATTATTGATGACAAAATAATAAAAAAAGGCGCCTAAGATAAGGAACTACAAAAATCGAGATAACTGATATTCCAGAAGAAAGATTCAGTGTTATCTATACCACTCTTACTAAGAAGAAAACTAAGAAATTACAAAAAAAAAAGAAATTCACGTACTTAGAAGACTCCATCACTTTCTGAAATTGCTAAAATGTTTTTAGATTTTAAGATTTTATTTTTCTTGGAAATGAAAGACCCTACACAAAGAGCCGATATAACTGATATTCCAGAAGAAAGATTCAGTGTTATCTATACCACTCTTGCTAAGAAGAAAACTAAGATATTACGAAAAAAGAAATTCACGTACTTAGAAGACTTTATCACTTTCCTTTCTGAAATTGCTAAAATGTTTTTAGATTTTAAGATTTTATTTTTCTTGAAAATGAAAGATGCTACACAAAGAGCCGACATAACTGATATTCCAGAAGAAAGATTCAGTGTTATCTATACCACTCTTGCTAAGAAAAAAACTAAGAAATTACAAAAAAAAAAAGAAATTCACGTACTTAGAAGACTCCATCACTTTCTGAAATGGCTATAATGTTTACAAGATTTTATTTTTCTCGAGAAAGACGCTACACAAAGAGCCGAGATAACTGACATTCCAGAAGAAAAATTTTGTGTTATCTATACTACCACTCTTACTAAGAAGAAAACCAAGAAATTACTAAAAAAAAAGAAATTTACGTGCTTAGAACACTCTATAATTTTCTAAAATTGCTAAAATGCTTTAGCAATGAAAAAGATTTTATTTTTTCTCGGAAATGAAAGACGCTACACAAAGAGCCGAGATAACTGATATTCCAAACGAAAAATTCAGTGTTTAGTCTTAGGTTTCTACCGAAACATTTAGGCGTCGAATGTCGCCTAAGTGTTAGTGGAGTACCACTAACGAATTATTCAAAACAGCAGTAAATAAAATTAGAATCGCAATAATGATATCCAATCTCCGATAGGAGAGGCACTCAAAGAAAAAGAAGGAACCAAGCCATCGATATATTGTAACTGAACATTCACAACAATACAACATTTGTGTATTAGGTTGCCTATCTAAAAGTGTCAAAATTGCTATAATAGTATTTGCTACTTTTAAAATTTGGCAACGTCGATTAAATTCGCGAAAATCGATAACCTAATTAAATTTGCATTTGGCGAGAATTTAGGTTATGTTGTCTCAGCCGACAAGTTGTTTTATTTGTTCAAAAATTATAGTATCCTAAAACAAAACGTTTTTGAAGTAAATTTTCGCTTATATTAAGATAAATGAGTATTTAAAATCATATTTGAGAATATTTTGTATACGATAACATGTGATAGATAGTCGCTAAATAAGTGCAGCCCTTTAATTCCGTGATAAAATGTCCAATAATATCGTATTTGGAACAGAGTTTTGTTATTAGGAAATCACAAATACCTGCGAAAGTTTGAAGCCACTATCGCAACAAAAAAGTACATTTTTGCTGTCCCTTAAAACATTGAAATGAGGTATGTCCAACGCCATAACGACCCTAATAAAATTCTTGATCACATGATAATTGTTGTTATTTCTCAGTTAATGTTGGTGAGCTTTTCCTATTTTTCAGTTTCAAATGACTTATTAATCCACATACCTAAACGAGATTAGTTTGAAACTTAAAGGAAACGTGTCTACAATTAGAAATAAATTTATGTAAATTCAAAGTTTTTTATTAGGGAAAATGGCATTGAATGTGTGATAGATGTATTGGGCTGTTGTGTATAGCATGTGAATGTATTTCCCCCGTTAAAATGTGTGGAATGCCCAGTCCTTATGTATATATACCCAAAGAAGTGGACTTGACACCTATTAAGTAGCTTTTTCTAGTTCATAGCGTCCTATTTAGTTAAACATATATGTGTGGCATCCAGTCAAGTGAGAACGAATTATGTCAACTTGATTCTAAATTGTATATAGAGATTTCAATCTTCCAGAACCGATTTACAATTAGATTGTATTTGCATTATATTGACTGGCATTATAGGGTTATGTTTTCATACCCAAGTGTGTAGGTATCTCACTATATCGGGTAAAAGAGGAACAAACAGAAAACATGTGACTGGGTGACTTTAATCACCAAACTGTTAGAAGAATTGGCAATAAAATGCTTTCACTAAATGGAGAAGATAAGGAAACAGAAACAAAAGATTAATAGCCTTCCAATAATGAATTGCTTCTATAAGCATAAACCAAGTTATAGACATTTATTAAGAAAAAGACTGGGTGACAGATTTCGCTGTTAACCAGTTATACAGCATCATCAGGTCCTCAAAAAATCAAAGTCTGAAATAGATCATATATGTAAGCCAATATGTATACAACCAAACATATATTAAAAGCAGTATGTACTAAGAATATATAGGACTTAGTCAACAGTCAGTAACATAAAAGCAATAAAAAATATAAAATATATAAAAGGTGGTCGGCAATATATATAGGTACAGTATCAAGTAACACAAAAGTGTAGTATGAAAGTCTAAAAATAGCATAAAGCCTATACAGTGGTAGTTAGCTATATTTTAACACGAAGTGTGTTTCAAAGAACATAAAAAAAGCAAGAAAAAGGGAAAGAGGAGAAATGAAAGATATTGACATAGTTAAATACAAGTTATTGAGTCTCCATGACCATTGTACAAGATTATTTCAAAAAGTCTAGTTATAAAACTAAAAGAAAACAGATACTAGGAAATATACCATCATTGTATAGATGCGATGTATACTTCATCTAATTTACATACCGATGCACGTCATTATCTACGTCAGAGATAGAAGTTGACATAGTTGCCAAAGTATAAAAAAATCCTGACTCCATATTAAATCAAATAGAACACATAATTATTGCAAAAGTATTACCATCTCTTTACAACGACTATTTAAATTCTTACGTGACATTTTTGAAATAAAACAGACTAATTTTGTTCTAAAAAGAACAGATTTTATTAAAAAGGTAAAAATATAAAACAAGAGGTATTCACTTTAAAATTCAAAATAATAAAGTACAAAAAGTGTCAACACGCAACTGTCAAATAAGTGTTACCAATTATGCCAAAATTTCACCTTCGTTCGATTACAGTTACCGTGTGTTCCGAACAAATGTTCTTCATAAAAACGTTTTATAATGCATTTATACAAATTAAATGAAACATATTATTGTGTATTTCTTTAAGTTAACATTAATAGAAATCTTTAAATATTATTTCTACGCGTATATAATAAAATATGTCTAGTGGCTGTAATGCCAGTGTACTCGGCAAAGTGATTCTAAAAAAGAACACACCTACCGCCTAAATATTTCGTGTTGGTATCATGTGACGTCACGGGCTATGACGCCGATGACGTGCATCGGTATGTAAATTAGATG